CCAAACCAAAAACTAACGTTTCAGCACCTATTTTGAGTAATGTTCATCTTATAAGAGAAATAAATTTCACAGTGATAACATTCACAAAAACAAATACAAAATAGCTTACAAGCTCTTTCAACATGTATAGAATGTCTTCTTCAGGTGAAACAAAACAAATTTTAGAACATTGGTATAAATTTTAACATTAACATATTCTAATTGAGATGCATGTTTTATTAATGTTGATAGATTCTTAAACTTTTATCTGATAAGAATCTGGAGTGAGAAAATAATTACTTCTTTCAAAAAACAAATGCACATGTTTACAATAGAAAATCTTAGGAAAGTTGCCACTCAGTGAACACACTGAAATCAAAGAATTCAGATACTGTATGAGTCAAGAAGTTTGACATTAGCAAAGAGAAATTATAATCATTTAGTACTCTTACCAGAAATAAATACAAGCATTTCATATATATTGATATAACATTTAAATACAAGGGTCATTCTAAAAGTAAAGAACGTTTGTTTCTCTAGATATTTTTATTTAAGATAATGAAACAAAACTTATTTTACAACACACATGATACCTTAGCTATATTTCTACATAATCACCATACAAATTTAAACATTTGTCATAGCATATCATCAGCTTTTCTATGCCTTCTGCACACTCAGTTACCATCAAGTTCTTGAACCAGTCATTAACGGCCTCTTTCAGTTCGTTGTCACTTCCATAGTGATTCCCGACTAAAAAATCCTTCAATTATGGGAAAAGACGTAATCACTTGAAAGCCTAGTCCGGGTTATAAGAAGGATGTTCAAAAACTTCCCACTTAAACTGCTGAAGCAAGTTCTTCGTCAACAAAGCAGCATGCGGACGTGCATTATCCTGAAGAACAATGCCTCTGGACAATAATCCCTACCATTTGTTTCAAACTGAAGCTTCATTCAGCACATTACCATAAACCTCGGTTATCTGTAAATTTTGATAGGGCGGACTTTTTTCGCATTCAAAAAGTGTATTACACTATGAACCTCACACTTGGTGGAATCTTTAATTTTGTTACACCTTTGAAAGTCACACTGTAAACACTGTAAATGATTGTAGGTGGCTTGCTGTTAGCAACAGACTGGCACGAAAACATGGAAAGGTTTATGATACAGCAGTTGAGGGTGGTGGGAGAACCTAACGGCTTGTCAGATCAAAACATTCTTTTCTTTTAGAATGACCCTCGTATAAATATCATAAGTCAATATAAATATGTAAAATTTATATTATATGCAATACACATGCAATTCTTTCAAGTAACTACTAAATTTTATTCTTTAATTTGTCATTTATAATGTTTCTTGTAACATCAACACATATATATATTGAAACCTCAATACAGTAGCTTCTAAGCATTATCTGCAAAAAACATAAATACCTGTAAACAGATTTTCCATGCAACTATTAAATAGATAACTTCAATATCCGTAAATTATTAAATCTATGATTAAAAGCACATGCAAGAATCAAACTGATACATATTTTTCTTACAATTACTGAAGGATTTTGCAATAAAAATAAACTACTATTGCTTACTATTACCAATATTATAACACTCAAAAATCTGTATAATCTCTTATAACCACAAAATGGCATAGATATTTGATTGTTATCCTTTTTTTTATTTGTATTTTAATCTTTTGCTATGAGTATTATTTTTGGGAGTGGATATCAATTGTCTTATGAATTTCCTTTTGTATACACAATAAATAAATAAGTATTAAACACTTTCAAACACATACACACTAAGAAGTCAAGACACACAGGTTGAAGAATCTAGTAGTAAACATTGGTTTGTAAATGCAGCAGCAAAGTGAAGTAAAGAATTGATGCATGCAGGTATACAGCATCAAAGAATTGAAACAAAATGAATTTGTTTTAATTCTCTTTTCATGCCATGCACACACAAACAACCACTGCAAACAATTATTTATTTATACATACTTACATTAGCAATAAGTTCTTTCTAAATGTTCATTATTTATTAAGGAAACAAAATGTACAAAGTATTTTGTTTCCTTACAAAGACAGCTTACAACCACATACAAAAGCAAAACTGATTATTATTAAAATAAGAAAGAAATTGTTTCTTTAATCATGCATAGACTATGAACATTTATATTTAAACAATTAAAATATTTTAACTCTACAATTCATGTATTGATACAATAAAATCCCTTTATGTTAAACATCTGCAGTTCTATAAGAACAAGTCCAAGATATAGAGTTAGTAGTACTTGTCCTAACAGCATTCAGGACAAAAACTACTCACACTATATCTTGACACCTGTATAAATTGGATATGTTCTTAATTAATTAAAGAACCATGGGTGTCCAGCATAAAGGGGTTCCACTGTATATGTAAAGGTACAATATAGTGATGTCTGGTTCCATGTGAAAGTGTTCACAACATAGGGGTGTACAAATTGACAGGTTTACTGTATATACATTTAAAATATTTATATAAACTTTTTATATGTGAATATGTTTAGGTAAATATTGCTTTTAAGTAATTACAGGTATATAATACCAGGTACCAGATATATATACCTGATACCTATACAAACTATAAACAAGCAATTATTTATTGTGACATCATCACAATGCCGAGCTACAATTTTTAATCATATTTTTAATTTACTTAATTTAAAATATATGCTCTCCACCTCAAATTAGTACTGTAGTTTCTTGCCCGTATACATCATACTTTTCCTTTAACAATAGATTCGTGCCAGTCATCTATTAACTGCTTTCAGGAGAAAAGTTGAAATAATGTGACTTCCAGTTTGCATCAGAAGTTCATATACAGTTAATCGAGGCCATCTGCCTAAGGTTTCATCTAACTAACTCCATTCTCGAGATTAAGTAAAGACAATAGATGGACGGACAACAGCGACAATTTATAGGTCTATAATTTCTTCAAATTGCAGTCCAACAAATATGCTTGCATATATACAGGTTATTTGTTTAAATGTAATTTACTTAAACGTAACAGTATAATTACACCTCTAAATAAGACAACCGAGACCTATTAGAGCTGTAGACCATACCCATAAATTCAAAAAAGTCAAACAATACCTCCACACCTCACCGCGCAGAATACAATCCACCAAAATCAGTCTACTTTCAAGTCACACGCGATCGGGAGCGGCGTCGCCCACCAAGACCATCGCATTTAACCACGGCCCACACGTCTATGCAGGTTTTGGGTAGCCCACTAGACCAATCACGGAGTATTCGATATTGCGTAGTTTTAGGGGAGCGTAGGGCTCGCCCTCACACCGACGCTTTGGCAAGCACCAAAGCACACAAATACATACGGAGCGTCGACCGAAACGAGCCTTGACCGACACGGAGAATAGGCAGTAGTACCGGTAATAGTTAAAACTGACCTTTGGAGACAAATATCTCACATAAGGTTGCACGTACAGGTATGGTACCACAGAGTTTTTGCACGTTTATTTTTGTTAAGTTATGGCAACGCAACACTTGGGCGATCTGCCTACGGGGGATGCCTTCCAGGTCTTTTTAAGGGTGGCCATCCCCTATTCAGGCATAACGGACGTAGAGAAAACCCAGTAAACTCCACACGGCCGGCCCATCCCGGAGGGTGCAAACCCACGACCGAACTCCCAGCATTCAGGGAACAGAACCACTTGTTGGTCACCGGTGGGTCCTTTTTGCTCTTACAGGAGGGGTCTATAACTCTGGGGATAGCAAATCCCTCATTCAGAGTTCACATTTTACCAAAGTAACTATTACACGCAATGCTTCTATAATCATTGTATGTATAAACAAACGACAGTAGTTACTTTACGGTAAATTATCTATGAACAAATTATCCAAAAGTAACATCTACCACAATTAGTTCATTTCGAAAGTAATTGTGTATTTTTTAAATAAATATCACGAAAATGAACGATTGTAAACTAATCAAAAGCAACTTTTCATAACATAAATAACACTTAAGACATGTACGTACGAAACGTTCTGGCTAATCGAGTAAGCAAGATACGAGAAAACATTTCGATCCCGAATACGACGACAATCGCCCTCTTATGACCTTCCTTCGATACTCTCCAAAGATGGCGATACCTAATTTCCGACTTCGCCACTCGGGGCGCATTATAACAAACGGATGATTATTTTTAATATTTATTTTAATATAAATTGCTATCCAAACATAAAATAATTAAAAAAATATTTCTTCTTTACTTCAAAATATATTAAAAATTATTTATTTTTAATATATTTTGTGAAATATAATTTTAATAAAGAAAACGAAACTTGAACGATAACCCAAAGACAAAGTCTACGAGCGCCGCGTTTAACCATTCTTTCATTGAAATTCTCCTTTAACCCCGTGCAAGGCGGTTAATCTTCAATTATGAAACGGAAGTAAAGTTTTCAGAATATCACGCTTTATCAACTCGTTGAGTGAACCATTCACTGAAAAAGTTCGTTTCTCGTACTTTTTCAAAACACAGACGAAGTACCCAGCAGCGTGTGACGGGCGGATAATTGCGCGGTCAAGAGGTCAGCCTACCGCTCCGAGGAACCCGGAATGGAATCCGAACGGGTCGAAAAATCCCAGGAATTTTTCGGGGGTGGTTCGTCCGGATATGTCGGGCCCCGTCTCTAACCACCCCGCCGCTCCATTGTGGATCTAGTCGAACCCATAATGGGCTGGCTAAAAGAGACCCTCTTAGTGCCAACAGAGGGAAAAGAACAAGGAAAAAACCAGCGGCGTGTATCTATAAAATTCGAATATGTATAATATTGAGCGCTCATCTTAGAAACATAAAAACAATTACGAAAATTTTATACTATTTTCTTATAAAAAATATTTCGAAAATGGATTTATTAATTTAAAATATTTCTTTTTATTCGGCTTCAAAGTGCATTATTGATTATTAATAAACCGAATAATTGAAATTTCATATAATTAATAATATAATCTAATAATTACACAATTGTATAATTAAATTATCTTCTTTTATCGATAACCGACAATTCGTTCGTTTTTGTTTTCAAATATTTTCAAAATAAAACATTCGAATTATTGTTCTTACGACATTTTCGAGTTGCATTCGTTGTTTTGAATTCTAAGCCGTAAAAGAAAGAAAAATAGACCAAAAAAATGGCATTTGTGATTAAAAGACTGAAAAGAAGTATCGACGGAGGTAAAAAATATTTAAAACTAATTAAAACGTTTATTTATTATTAATATTACATTTTACTATAGGAGTTTATTTCCATCCTCCCCAGTACGAAGGCATTTCTAAAATCTTCCGTTCTTCTCGTTCTCTTGCCTTCTTCTTATACTCTTTTCCTGAAAATTCTATAATTTCAATAATTATTTTAAATTTGAAGACATTTACAAATAAATATTTTTTGTTATTCCATTAGATGAGCATAAAAACGACGTCATCAAAAACATTTCAAGACTCAGGACAATTTCGAAGGCGCAAAATAACAACATTAACGTGTCGAAGGGTACCATTATACTCGCTCTTTCGGGAAGTCGCGAGTTACCGTCTCTATCTACAGATATCAGAGACGTCAAGAGAGACACAGAACCTGTTAGATCCAACGACGTTAATTTGCAGGAAATTTTCCCACCGAGACCGGGATTCGGATATTCTGGCAAGAGGATAAAGATCTTAAGCAACTTCTTCGAAATGGAAATAGACCAGAGTTGCCTTTATCATTACCACGTGGATATTATCCCCGTGAAAAAGAACAAGGAACAGTCCGTCAGTTGCAAAAGATACAACTGTCTCAACACCAGAGAAAACAGAAAAGTCATCGACAATCTTTTGTCGAATTTTCAAATATTTCGAAATTATCCCGTCGCTTTCGACGGAAAAAAGAATTTGTTCAGTTGTAATCTAATGCCCATCGAAGAAGAGAAGACGTTCTTCGTATCGCTTAAGAGTAACAACAGAACGTGCGATTACAACGTAGTTTTAAAACCCGTTTGTAAAGACAAAATGGTTGTTCCTAGGATCGATCTACGACCTTTCCGTGGAAAAAGTCTCAAGAACTTCGAAGAGGCTGTCATGGCCGTGGATACCATCATGCGCCACGGACCCGCAAAATCTCTGGTACCTATCGGAAGATCGTTTTTCTCTTCGTCCAGCGATAAAGAAAGGATTTCCGTAGGAGCGGGTAGAGAAATCTGGTTCGGTTACCATCAGAGCGTTCGCATAGCTCAATGGAAACCCATGCTGAACGTCGACATATCGGCTACCGCTTTCTACAAAAGCGGACCTTTGATAAAGTTCGTCGAAGAAGTCCTAAATGCCGACGTCAAACAGTGCAGGGGACTCGACGATCGTCAGATAAAAACACTGCAGAAGGAATTGAAGTCTCTGAAAATTACGGTAAACCATCTGCAATACAAAAAGACGTACAAGATTAACAGCGTCACCAGCAAACCCGCCAGATACGTCTGCTTCATTTGGCAACGAGAAGATGCGCCGTGTCAGATCTCCGTTGCGGATTACTTCAAGAGGCAATACGGAGAACTTCGATACCCGCACCTTCCGTGCGTCTGCGTGGGAAACACCAGAAAATGCTCCTATTTACCTCTTGAGGTTTGCGAAGTTTGTCCGGGCCAACACTGCAGTAAAAAGATGGACGAGAAGCAAGAGGCGGAGATGATACGAAACACTGCCAGACCCCCGCAAGTTCGGTTTAAAGACATCACCAAAGCCGTTAAGCAGACTTGCCAAGAAAACCAGGAACTTAACCGGAAATTCCGCATCCAAGTAAATAGTCAACCGGTGCGTGTAGATGGACGAGTGTTAATGCCGCCGATGGTCATGTATAGCAAATTAGAAGAAATTCTTCCACAGAACGGCGCTTGGGATCTCAGAGACAAGAGTTTCTATCGTCCCGTCGACGTAGTTTGGTGGGCATTTGTCAGCATGTCCTCGAATATCTGCAAGGAAGCGGACATGTTAAATTTTGTTCGGATGATGTGTCAAGGAGGAAGGAAGTTTGGCATGATTATTAACAAACCCTGCTACCTGAGAGAGTATTCCTCGACCAACGATTCCGTAGATTGTCTTTTGAAAAATATAATATCTTCCTGTCCCAGAATTCAATTAATTATGATCGTCCTGCCTTCTCGAGGAAGAGGAAGTCTCTACGCCGAAATTAAACAAATGGCGGAAATAAGGATGGGACTAATCACCCAATGCGTTAAAGACGTAAATATTTTGGGCAAGAGATGTAACTCCCAATTGATCTGCAATCTGTGCCAAAAAATCAATGCCAAATTGGGTGGAATCAACAACATCTTGTCGCCGATGGTCGTCCCCAATATTTTCCATAAACCGGTCATCGTCATCGGTGCCGATTGCACCCATCCTTCGCCACACGACAAAATCAAATCGTCGATTGCCGCTTTGGTGGGAAGTTTGGACAATTATCCGAGCAGATACGCCGCCACCGTCAGCGTGCAGACCAACGGCAAGAAGAACAGAATGGAGATCATCGAAAACATGAAAGCCATGATGAAAGACTTATTGGTCTCGTTCTATCGAAACACCGGAGGAAAAAAACCCGAAAAAATCATATTTTACAGAGACGGATTGAGCGAAGGCGAATTTTCTAAAGCGGTAAACAAGGAATTGATGCTAATGCGCGATGCCTGCGCAGAAATGAATCCTTCCGAAGTATACCAACCGCCCATCACTTTCGTCGTGGTGGGCAAACGACACCACACACGTTTCGTGCCAGAAAACTTGGAAGACGGAGTGGGAAAACACCGCAACATTCCCCCGGGCACGACCGTGGATACGACCATCGTCCATCCCACCCAATTCGATTTTTACATCTGCAGCCACACCGGTAACCAGGGCACCAGCAGACCCGCCCATTACACCGTGCTGTGGGACGATAACAATTTTACGGCCGACGAGTTGCAAACCCTGTCGTATTACTTGTGCCACACTTACGTCAGGTGCACTCGAAGCATTTCCATCCCGTGCCCCGTTATGTACGCGCATCTGGCAGCCTACCGTGCCAAACAGCATCTGTTGGCCAGATGGGAGAATGGAGGCAGGAACAACGATTCCAATTGTAGTCTCGATCTTTCGGACGAACAGCTGTTGGAAAACAGCTTCAATCGCGCGGTCGAAGTGGATCGCAAGATCAAAAATGCCATGTATTTCGTTTAGGAATTTTCGCGACGGTTGCCACGTTGCATCGCATTTATTCGAATGGCAAATGTTTTGTTTTAACAACAAAATTGTACGTCCGAATATAGTTTATAAAAATGATAGTTTATCTCGATATTTTAGAAATTTTGATGATTCACTAGAACATTACAAAATTCTTCGAAAAATAAAGAAACGTCAACATTAACAATCTTTTGTCGAATTTTCAAATATTTCGAAATTATCCCGTCGCTTTCGACGGAAAAAAGAATTTGTTCAGTTGTAATCTAATGCCCATCGAAGAAGAGAAGACGTTCTTCGTATCGCTTAAAAGTAACAACAGAACGTGCGATTACAACGTAGTTTTAAAACCCGTTTGTAAAGACAAAATGGCTGTTCCTAGGATCGATCTACGATCTTTCCGTGGAAAAAGTCTCAAGAACTCCGAAGAGGCCGTCATGGCCGTGGATACCATCATGCGGCACGGGCCCGCAAAATCTCTGGTACCTATCGGAAGATCGTTTTTCTCTTCGTCCAGCGATAAAGAAAGGATTTCCTTAGGAGCGGGTAGAGAAATCTGGTTCGGTTACCATCAGAGCGTTCGNATTTTCGAAAAACCGGTCATCGTCATCGGTGCCGATTGCACCCATCCTTCGCCACACGACAAAATCAAATCGTCGATTGCCGCTTTGGTGGGAAGTTTGGACAATTATCCGAGCAGATACGCCGCCACCGTCAGCGTGCAGACCAACGGCAAGAAGAACAGAATTGAGATCATCGAAAACATGAAATCCATGATGAAAGACTTATTGGTCTCGTTCTATCGAAACACCGGAGGAAAAAAACCCGAAAAAATCATATTTTACAGAGACGGATTGAGCGAAGGAGAATTTTCTAAAGCGGTAAACAAGGAATTGATGCTAATGCGCGATGCCTGCGCAGAAATGAATCCTTCCGAAGTATACCAACCGCCCATCACTTTCGTCGTGGTGGGCAAACGACACCACACACGTTTCGTGCCAGAAAACTTGGAAGACGGAGTGGGAAAACACCGCAACATCCCCCAGGGAACGACCGTGGATACGACCATCGTCCATACCACCCAATTCGATTTTTACATATGCAGCCACACCGGCAACCAGGGCACCAGCAGACCCGCCCATTACACCGTGCTGTGGGACGATAACAATTTTACGGCCGACGAGTTGCAAACCCTGTCGTATTACTTGTGCCACACTTACGTCAGGTGCACACGAAGCATTTCCATCCCGTGCCCCGTTATGTACGCGCATCTGGCAGCATACCGTGCCAAACAGCATCTGTTGGCCAGATGGGAGGATGGAGGCAGGAACAACGATTCCAATTCTAATCTCAATCTTTCGAACGAACAGCTGTTGGACAACAGCTTCAAGTATTCGGTCGAAGTCGATCGCAAGATCACAAATACCATGTACTTCGTTTGAGAATTCCTCGCGACGGCTGTCACGTATGCCATTCATTCGAATGGCATTTCCTTGCAAAATATATTTTGTTTTAAAGTCAAAATTGTACATTCAAAGTATAATTTATTAAAATTTCAGTTTATCTGAATATTTTGATGATTTATTAGAATATTACAAAACTATCCACAAAAATAAAGAAATGCCAACATTAAGGTTGTATTTAATAAACTGGGACACTCAAAATCGAGCAATACCAGAGAATTTTCATGCCTCGATTCTCATCACGCGACACTACACTGTGGGCCTAAAAAATGAGGTCCTCTGAGTACTCAAAAGGGGAAAAAAATTAAAAAATTATAGATATATTTAAATGAATTAAATGCCTGTGTCAGCATATAATCATAATTTATACATTTCAAAATATGTAATTAATTAAGAAAATGAGAATAGCACGATATTATATTAGATTTTTTGGATTTAATTATATTTTTACACATCAAGATATTCGTTCCTGACTGAAGTGCAGTGATGGCATGCGAATTCACGTTAGATTATTAAGGAGCGCTAAATTAAAGCTATTTGTCACTCTGCACAAACGGTGAATTCTACCTTTATTCTAAAACTTCCTTAATATTTGACTTCGTGTTAACTACTTACTTCATAAGACATACAGGGTGGGTAAAAAGTAACTAGGTATTAAGCAATCGCCATAAGTTTTGAGATAATAATGCAATCGTAATAAAATTTACGTATGTACGTATATCAGCCAATGGAATTATATAATTTTTGCGTCAGTGGATTAGACAATGAGCGAGAGAGGTCGCACGTGCAATGGCAAGAAAGATGGACGACCACTCCTGTTTGGGAGCCAGCGCAGATTGCTCTACGCTATGAGGTGTGGAAATCGGTGGTTGCCGTGTAGTGACGATGACGTGCGGTGATGGATGTCATGCGGATACAATCGAGAATTGTCATTAGGAGCTAATGACCAAAGGTTCGGTCGCGTACGCATAGAGAAGCGACCGTTCATCCACATCACGATCTTCGGGCGTTTGAGGAAGTTGGGGATGGTAGTGATGCCTATATTAAATTTTAAAGGCACGAGTCTGTATTTCCATTTAATAATGTAAAACTTGAATAATTTCATCGTATTTGCTTTGGAAATATAGAAATTATAACGATTTATCAATGCCTAGTTACTTTCCACCCATTCTGTATATTGAATGTCCGTTTAGATACTGTATTTATATTTATTCCAACAAATCAGAAAATATCATTTTATTTTTACATAACTGTACATTATATTACAATAACTACAATATGACGTAAATATCGAGATATAAAGGTAAAAATATTTGAATATGTTCACCAAGTTGCATATAAAACCATCGGTTGATAATTATGAACATTCCTCCATTAAATTTCAAAAAAAATCTGTAAATGTAGATTTGAAATAATAGTTTTTTTGTTATTAACCAATCACTTAGTGTTTTTACTGTGAAAATCAATTCTTTAACATCGGAAATCATTCTTTAATAATGTAGCATAAAATAATCCTGGTTTATTGATTTTTCTGGTTATCTGCAGCATCTTCCTCGATAAAAGACTGTACTATAATCACTGGTATTAATCCCTGTGTTCTGACCAAATTACTTTTACTCTCTTTATTATTTAAATTCATTTGGATCTCCTCCGTGTCTTCTTTAGATTGGGCCAAATTTCCCGAAGAGGGTTGATTAATTATTACGGGTGTCATCAACACATTCGTAGGTCTGTTTACGTTTGCATCCGAGTCAAAACCTCTATGGTTTTTTATGTTCGAATCCTTACCTAAATTCCTCTCGTTAACTTGAGATGGAAGGAATTGGTTTCTCCCCGCATTACGAAAATTTTCGGAAATTTTAGAATTATCCGACTGTACTTGTATTCTTCCATTGACTCTGATTATCCCTCGAGGTGAGTAACTTTCGGTTAAGAGCTTCTCTCCGTTTATGTTATCGTTTGAAAAAGGTGCTTTTGTGTTAGAGAAGTGGTGAGGTTTCGGTGGTTCCTCTCTGTTGTTAAGTAAATAGGAATTCGAATTTTCGTAGGGTTTAACTTTTATTTTATTCGACCGCTCCTCTGTACTGTACACCAAACTGCATCGGTTTTCAATTGTTTGTTGTAAAATTAAACACCGATCCACATAAGTCAAACAACATCGAAATATCCTGAATAGAGTTGCGTGTTTTTCTTGGCTACAGTTAAAAGAAATAGACCCACCTGTTAGCAAATCTAATACAGTAATACCCCGAACTTACGCTATAGGTGGGACCGAGCGGTAACCGCTTTTAAGTCGAATTCGCGTAAGTCGGGGTATAATTTCGCAAATAAATGCATACAAATAATTTTTAATTGGGGCCGGAGGCTAAAGAAAACTATAATTTAGAAAAAAAATGTTTAATAAAAATCTTAGATAATACATATGTACAGTGGAACCCCGGTTAACGAACGTCCTGGTTAACGACCAAATCGGTTAACGAACTTTTATTTTGCAAAAAATTTGTCTCGGATAACGAACAAAATTCGGATAACGAACGTAACGGTATTTTGTGTCAAATTTTAGTTGGTGTTAGGCATGCACGAGTTAAGTATTGCTTTTCCGAGTGTTTGTCTATGCTTCTTTTTTCAGTTTTGTGATTTATATATTTAATCAATATGGCATCTAAGAAAGAAAAAGTCATAGTGGCAATAGAAAACGACAACGCAATATAAACGATAATGCGCTATCGCATTTGAGAAAAATTTTGATTAAAATAGTAAGACAATCAACTTTAGATCAATTTCTTGTTCCTTACGGAAAGAGTTTGTTTGTTTGTTAAGTTATGGCAACGCAACACTTGGGCGATCTGCCTAGGAGAATGCCTTCTGGGAGATGTTTTTAAGGGAATCTGGCCCCTATTTAGGCGTTACAGACGTGGAGAAAACCCGAAAAACTCCACATGGCCAGCCCGTCTGAGCGAGGAGCGAGGTGCGAACCCACGAACGAACTCCCCGTGTTCAAGGTACGAAGACCACTTAGTCACTGGTGGGGTTTTTTACCGAAAGAGACTTCGACTCGAAGAATCTTCCAATGAAGTGCTACCCGTTATTTTTTGGAGGGAATTCCCCTTCTAAGCATTAAGGTTCGTATATCTCCACTTTTCTGCCACCAACTACAACAAACGAAGGTATGTACAGTTCTAGTTTATTAAACAAAGTTTACATGTTTGTTGCTGTAATGATACATACTACGTTTTCTTACATTTTCATCAAAGAAAATTACTGTATATTACAAATAAAATCGCAAAAATTTCGGCGACTAGAACGGATTAATTGCATTTGCNAAGGGCCCAGAATCACGTATAAAAACTTTTAACAATTTAAAAATGGCGTAATATCTAGCGGAGCTCAGAATTCGTGAAAGGCCCTAACCATTTTTGTTTCTTTCCGCTCTAAGGGCTTCTTCTTAATCATACCCATGGTGGGTTCGGCAGGTCCTAATAAGGGCATAATCGAGGAATAAGAGAGACGGAGCCCGAAATCCCGAAGAAAATACTCTGAAGGATCGTGGATTCGATCCTAGATCCTTCAGAATACACGACGGCGATGCCACCGATACTTAATCCAGGCCGAATTTGAAAAAAGATAACTAAGTCGCGGCTTAGGGCCTGGTGTTACGAGTCTATAGCTTAGGGCCTCGCAGTTTTACACGTATCATTATTTATCGGAGGATAAGAGCCCGATAGACGCCAACACATTCTTACAAATTTTATTTATAAGATAGTCTGCGATAGAAAAATTATCAATATGGGTTTAGAAAGTTATATACATATTAAACTTACCCTTGAATTTCCTGCACTTGCAATTTCTGCAGGTGAATTTGCAAAGTAAGGTTGGCAAAATGGTGAAGAGATTTACAGGAGAGGGCGAAGGTGACGTTTTATTCATATTCCTTATAAGTTTGGCCCTCCCGAACTTCCATTCGGTGTCGGATTGAGCTTGAATTCTTTGATAGGTGTTAGACATCATAGCGATTAATAGGTTGATAAGTACAACGACCGTAACCATCATATACACACCAAAGACAATTTTCATGACTACTTTGGAAAAGTAAGGGTTTAGATGCATGGGTGGAAGATAGTCTGGTTCAACCAGACCAAACAGGGCAAAGAAGAGCATTTCGAATGTGTCGATAGGCGATTGAAAAACTTGACCCATAACGGGCAGAGAAAAAGTATCGTTGCCGGGTGGTAAGAATACGGGTTGATAAATAGCGCAGACGTGAAGAGAAAAACCAATCAGAAAATGGCCAAAATAGCCAAGAACCGCAGAAGATCTTTAATCAGATCGCGAATGATAACGGTCCAAGGCCCGAACAGATGATGGAAAGTTAAAAAGTTAAGAAATTCTAAAAAGCAGAGCAACAGCGACACCGCCAACAGCTGATTCCTCGTATACAACGTTATTAATCTGGATCTTCCGGAGAATATATATGATATTAAATGCACTACGATAGCCATGCTAGTGACCCACATGATGGCTACTTTAATGTAACCTAGTCCTTCTCTATCTTTGGGATTGGTGACGTCCGATACGAGTATGCCAATTAACCACAGTAGCACTAACCATTCTTGAGGTTGGGGTATTATATTTGCCGACTCCCATAATGGTACCCAAGGATTGATTATAGTGAATCCCAATATGAAAATGAAAAAGATGTGTGATACTAAATAAGACATGAATTTAATAATCGGTATGTTAGATAATTTATGACCCAGTGGACAAGAACAGAGAACCCAGATGACCGGGCATATCATAAATGCTAAAAACAACAGGACGATCTTCCAAGTTGACCATTGTAAGCTTCCCATCCACAGATCGGACAGGTATTTCTGCACAGCAGGATGAGCAACCACTTCTTTTTGTTGTAACTCAATTAAAACATGGAGGAAGGGAGTGTTATGGGTATCCACAGATCTTAATAATGTTCCGGTGTTATAGCTCATGGCCGCTATGGACAGTAAGTCGGCAGCCATTGTCTCGCAATAGGCGGCCGTGTTTTCTAAATCTCTCGCCCGATCTTTCTCTTTAAGTGCTAAAAGTTGATAACTTCTTGCCATTTTAACGGGTATCTATGGGTGCAGCAGAAACAAGAATAAAATCCAATATTGGTTTGTTATTGTGGGCTTTCCCAGAAATTATGAGGTCGACAAGAAACTGGAAAAATTTCAAAAGATTCCCTTCAGATATTATAATTAAAACCTTACATTAATAAAGATTAAATCTTACCGTTTTGTCATCCATTAATACTTGAGTGTCGTGTTCTTTCCTTAATAAGTATTTTAGTACATTATAATGACCAGCAGCGGCTGCTAAACACAAGGGCACTTTACCATCCTGAAATTGGTGTAATATTAATTAATAACTGTATAAATATTTAATTATTTAATGCTTATTATTCAATCCTTCACCTTTGTAACGGACATTGGGGATGCTCCGCTATCTATCAAGAGTTGAACCACTTCTAAGTAGCCATTTTTTGCCGTGTAGTGTAATGCTGTTAATCCATTCTGTTCAATAAATAAATTAAAAATAGCATTTTAAATACCTCGTCTAAGTGTATTTCTACTTAACTGTAATTAATTATCATAGTTGTATTTGTCGAGGAGAAATTTCCCAAATTGCCCAGAACATAAACCTTAATTGCCTTCGTCATAACTCAAGAAATAATTGGTTAAATTAGTGTAAATATTTGTTAATTCGGCGTAACGCGTATCGTAAAATGATAATTACACAAAATGTCAATGCCATGAATTTATGCATTTGTGTTTGCTTACATTATCTATTCTATTGGAAAACAAGAAAGAATATTTCAACACTAATTAACAGAATTTACTTTATAAATATTAAAATGCATCTTCCTTTGGTAAAATCATTGGAAATAGTTTACTTTTCATTAAAACCAGATGAATTAATAATTACAAAAATCTCTTCTACTAACAACATCGTTGTAAATAGCAAACATATACGACACACAAGGATCTTTTTTAATGAATTATCTTGATTTTCTTTAAGTGTACACGAAAAGAAACCTACGTGTCATTTTATATCACTTAAACAATCATTTTTTTTTACCGTAACATCGACTAATATCCTCAACGTAATGTCTAACTATGGGGTAGATCCCCTTGTATAATTTATAAAATAAGAGTATACAACCGCATAAATATAATAGACTCGTTATTGATCCTCGATGGATATTCCGAATTTAAACAATCAATTATTGACGAACACTTCATTTCTACATATTCCGTTCGTACGGTCAAACCTCTGAACAACGGCCACTGTCGGAAACATAAAAAGTGGCCGCTATTTGGAGGTTATTTGCAGCATTTCAGAAAAAAACGTTCCCGTGAAAATGGCCGCCATTTAGACGTGTCCGTTATTTGAGGTTCGACTGTTGTTACGCAAAAGCTTGTTGAATTTTAATCAATTTCACTCACATTGTCACCCGTGTTGATATCTGACCCTTGACCTAACAAGAGGCCCACCATATCTTTATGTCCGTTAGCAGCAGCCATATGGAGGGGCGTTCTTCCTTGTTTGTCGGTAGCGTGAAGTTGTTCGGTAGATCTGCTTAAAAGTAGACCAGCGGCGGCCAAGTGACCCCCACGCGCTGCCATGTGAAGAGCTAAAATTCCCTACAAATATATTTTAATGTAGCATTTTTTAATGAAAATAACAGGATATAGAGGAGTAAAAATGTATAAAAAATTACCTGCAATTCGGTCGATGCGTCAGTCTGTACGCCCGTGCTATTGAGAAGTACACGAACGGTACCTTCGTGACCATTATCTGCAGCAAGATGAAGCGGAGTAAATCCATACTATAATTATAAAAAAAAAACTTAATTAGCTATTTGAATAATTAATCTGGATCTTCCGGAGAATATATATGATATTAAATGNAATAAGAAAGAATAAGGAGACATTTCTATCATTTATATAATGTGAATTCCCCTAGAAGTCAATGAATGTTTAATCCAGTTTTAGAGGTCGACTGATCGGGAAAATTAATTTAAACAGAAAAAAATGCCTCCTTTAAATACACTATATTATCATTTTTTTTTCATTACAACAAAATAAGAAAGATTTAAGATAAAATGTTTCATTTCTCTGCTTGTTTGAAATAGTTAAAGGTATAATTTATCACACATCATATATCTGTAAAGGAAGATTCGACCATTCTGAGATTAATTTAATATTTAATTAAAGTTTTTACGTCTTCGCTGCTTCCGTCAGACGGTCTTTCGCTTCTTATATTTGCAGGTAGTTGAGTCAGCATTTCTCTAACGAAGGTTGTCTGTCCGAAACTCGCTGCCACGTGGAGCGCAGCCATTCCTGTCTGCAATACATTAAAAAAATAACTTAATTTTTGTCCTCGGATGACAGTTTATACCATTTTTTAACTCTTGTAAGCACCTTTTTACTAGTAATCCTCCAAGAAACTGCCGTCTTCAAAGCTTGAAGTACTTTCACGTGTCCGTGTTTGGCCGCTAAATGGAGCGCCGTGTATCCGTCCTAAACAGAGAAAACTTACGTTAGAAAATAAAATTTAATTATTCGAATTTCTATAAATTAACTTTCTTACTCCATTTTCGTCAGTGGCTGATGCTCCAGCTTCCAACAACACTTTAACTAATTTTGCGTGTCCTCCGGCAGCTGCTAGATGCAGAGCGGTATTATTGCTCTAAAAATACATAGAAATTTGCGTTAAAAGTCTTTAATAAATTCAGTCAAACCTCTGAACGACGGCCACTGACCGAGCACAAAATATGGCCGCTTTTCGGAGGTTATTTTGTAAGCATTCTCCCCCCAAAAACTATTCCTAAAAAAGTGGCAGCAGTTTAGAGGTATTCGTTATTGGGAGGTGACCGTTATTGGAGGTTTATTTATTTATAAAACTTTTCTTGTACGAAATCTTAATACTTGAAAGAAACAAAACATCGTTCGCGCGACGCTCTGCCGCTTCGCTTCGCGTGTAAAATCGGTTTAAAATTTATATATTTATTTAAAACAATAAATTATTACACATAATCATTAGCTTGATAATTTAAACCAAATAAACTTGGAGAATATAGTTTAATAATGATTAAAATGTATACAGTATATATTTTAATTAAGAATGCGACGTCGCGCTCGAAGCGTCGCGTTCGCTTCTCGCTTTAACACGAAGCGAAATCAATGTAAATGCACCGAACAAAAATTAAACTTTTTAAATGAATTCTTCGTAGAATAATATAAATATTTATTTATTACCTTATTTCTTGCAGTGGTGACGAGATGACGGTTAAACTTCATCAATTCTTTGATTACAGCCACGCTACCTTTCATGGCCGCTATATGAGCGCAGGTGAAACCGCTCTATACAGAATTAGCGTATTAATTATTTAAATATTTTAAATAAAAGATCATTAAAATAAAGAAATGATTATTTACCGAATTAGCCATTGAAACCAGTTCGGGTTTATGATGTAAAAATAATTTAACAATTTCCGGATGATCATTTTCCGCCGCTAATAGAAGAGGTGTTTGACCTTGCTAAAATATATAAAATAACAATTATTATTGTTTACAATATTTCTTTTTATATTAAATGCTTTATTTACATTATCGATGGCGTGTGCATCCGCATTTAGTTCTAAAAGTGTGCTGCATACGTCCAGCTTTCCCTTTTCGGCTGCCAAGTGGAGCGGAGTTTTTTTAATCTGTAAGAAAAGTACATCGGTAAGTATCCGCCATATTGGAAACGTAGCGCTCCCAGGCCGGTCGCATACAGTATATGCATTACTTACTAGTGTTAAAGCATCCAAAACGGCTCCGTGATCAGCCACTAGATGTTGAACAATCCCGTTGTAACCGTGTTTGGCAGCCAGATGAAGGGGAGTTAAACCTTTTTTAGATCGAGAATTAACGAACGCATTATTTTGTAATAAAATATCAACGACTTCGTGATGCCCGTACTCGGCCGCTAAGTGAAGAGCGGCCTTCCCACTCTACAATATAATTTTTGTTTAAATTAAATCTGGTTAAACATATTTAGATTTCTAAAATTAATAAAATTGCTTCCGTAAACTTACCTCGTCAAAAATATCCACTCTCGCGCCGTGCTGTAGCAAGACTTTAACTAGATTAGGATGTCCCGCGCGGCACGCGTAGAGCAGAGGCGACCATCCATACTGAAAAAAAAAATGAATCGAAATTGTAGTTTAAATTATGTAATTTCTTATTTTATTATTAATTTAAATTTACCTTAGATTGTCTGTTAAATGCAGACTGCACTTCTGCTGGCGATAAGTGCTCTAGGATCTCTTTTAGTATGTCTTCGTTTCCTTCTCTGCTACAATAGTGAATCGATGTTTCTTTCATCTAAAATAATTCATTTTTTGAAACATTAATAATGCCTGTCTCGACAGAGAAGTAATGTCAAAGTATGCTACATTCTGGCATTACTTCTATAGAAGGAACAGTTCAACAGCTAGTGTTGTGTGTGACAGGTACTGTACCATACGGGCTAAAGAATACAGATATTACAACGGGGCAATAACACCCGCATTAATATATGGAAGTAAATGTTGGGTATTATAAAAGAAACAAAATGGACATTGCAAGAAGCAAGAAACAAGAAGACTGCATACTACAGAGACAAGGTATTACTATGGATGACTGGTAATACATAGTAAATTACATGCTCGAGCATTAAGGAATCTGTATTATAGACAGCCAAGAATAGAAAAGCGAAACAAGAAGCACAGACCGAACAGTAGGAAATTATTAATACTACATTTAAAAATATTATATCAAATATCTTACCGCTTTATTCTCCATGTTAACATCCGATCCGCTTTCTAACAACAACTTCACCAAATCTTTATCTTCCGTGGGATAGTGAATATGTTGTTTAGTTATGGCACCCGCATAATGCATCGCGCTTTCTCCTTCCTGTCAATTAAATATCGACAAAATTAATGTATTATCATATTTTTACTTTAAATTTTACGTATTAATTTCATTAAACTTACAACGTTTTGCTGATTGACGAGCGAAACGGTGTCGTTCGAATGTGTACCTTGCCAATGCTCTAATAAAGAACGAGCAATTGGAAAGTGACAATTCTTGACAGCAACGTGTAAAGGTGTTTCCCCATTCTAAAATAAGCAATTTATATTATTTTTTGCAACGTAAGTCAAGAAAATGAAAGTAACCTTCGACCGTTACCTGTGTTTTTACATCAATTCCCGCTCCGTCGCTTAATAGCAGCATAACTGTATCCAAGTGCCCGTGTTTAGCTGCCACGTGTATAGGTGTTTCTCCAGTCTTGAACGTAAAAAATTCATTTATTTAAACGCATTTTATTGAAAAAAAAACAGTTTTTACTAATTTACTAATACTGTATTTGTAAGATTATTAAATTAATTATAATTACAACCAAATCTGGCGTGGCGGTATTTTAAATACGTGGAGGACGTTTCCGTAGAAAAACATATTTAAGATAATTATCATTATTTTAATTAATTAATCCTTTTATTAACGGTAAGAGTGATTTTAAAATAAGCCACTTACTTAACTTCTTATCTCTAGATGTATGGTATCTTAAAAATTAATTAACCATATTATACCCCGATAAAAATCTAGACGTATCTTTGATCATTAACATATATCGGGTTTAGCTTTATATGGAAAAATTTATTATCATTATTTTGCATGTGATAAATATGTTATTTTCAAAACAGAATCTTATAATATAATCGAGATGGGTTGATAATAAGAACAGAGCCGGTTAACGGTCGCTGCGAATCTTAATTATCGTTATCCCGGTGTGGTAAGCGGATATCTAAAAATTTTCAAGAGGATGAACCTAATTCTTGCACCCGATGAAAACGGGTAAGATCGGCTATAATCTAATAATCTTAATCTTTGCTATCGTTACTTTCCGTCCGAGCAACGCCGGGTTCATCCGCTAGTTTGAAAACAACGCCGATATCGCGTCCTTCCCATAAATCACTATATAAATACTTGCGAATATAATCATATTATAAAATATGACATATTTTTCTAGGAGTCGCAATCATTAGTTAATTAAGTACTTTCGAGGGTACTTGGCTCTCGCGCTTAGAGAATACCGAAAGAATTGTAAAAAATCAATCGTTTAAATAAGAATCCGATGTCTATGATTTCTTGATATTTTCCTTCATCCGCGAGAGGGCGTCGTTGGCAAAAACAGACGAAAAGTCGTCTGCTAAAGACGGAAGAGAAGAGACAATTATCGAAGTGTAGATACTCGAAGGACGTGTTCATTTATTTCTTTCTACTTACGTAAGGTTGACGTATCGGTTAGTTTACGCTTGTTGCGTTAGTAAAGCTGTTTTCATTAATTACTTGTACAGCTTTTGAGCCACTCTCGGTACATTCTCTCTCTATTGTATACAATAATGTACTTTTGGCAAACTCCCTCGCCTTTAATTACGTGTAATACTTTAAAGACTATTTCCTGTCACGCGCACGATGCTCGACCCCCGTCCTCCCCACCATGTACTGTACTCTTCTCCATCATCCTCCTCCCCCTAAACTGTACGCGTAATTAATGGATGGCCCCTTTAACCTATTAATTCGTCCTCGGAAGCAGTAACGGGCTGTGCAAAAAATAAATAAATAAATAAAATAGGGGTTGTCCGCGTATATGGATGTTGCTCGTGTGTTTGTATGTGAGTAGGTGGGGACACGATTTTGTTTATCTACTTTCGAGCTTAATAACTCCTCTGCCTTTTGTCGAAATTTTCTGAAGTTTTGCAGGGACGTTTGCTATTAAATTTTGGCGGTTAAAGGTCGACGGGGGGTGAGGAGATAAAGGGGGCTCGCGTGTGGTATCGAGTGGGGACGGGAGATTGCTTACTGTTCTTTCGATTAGTTGTATTTCCTTCGGAATTAGTACAAGATTGCCGTTGAGAACGAATCACGTAGGAACTCTCTTTTTGATGGAAAAAGTATGTCTATTTTCTATAATTTAGAAAGGATATACATTTCGGGCTTAATGCCCTCTTCGGTCCTAAAAATTATTATAAACAAGGAATAACTAATTATTAAAACCTTTGGGTAAAAGGTTTTAATAGTCAGTTATTCTCGACAGCAACCTTGTGTTAATTCCGAAAAAAATACAACATTTTATACGTTATTATCATTTACAATTTTTTTTGTTTTTAATTTGATAAAAATTATAATTATTTTAAATTTTATTTTCGTAGATTTTACAAGAATGTGTTTTTGTTACGTGTTTCGAATTTATTTATGTAATTTTTTTTATGAAGAGTAGACTAATCGGGTGAGTAGTCTGTACGTCATTATATGATATAGAATTACTTCGTAAATATAAAACTATGGTGTATATAATGATATATATATGCAGATTTAATGGTTATCTGGAGTCGAGTAAATCATTAAATTTACATATAATATAAAAATATGAATTAAGAGATTATTATAGGAATATTATCCATTTTATGACTCGTATTATTGCCTTCATTTAATATTTTTAGCCCATAAAAAACGTAAATTTAAAAAATAAATTATTCTTTGCGTTAATTCTGTGCCATTTACACGCACTTTTATGAAGATTTAATCTTAATTCATTATAAATATTATAAAAAGTGGTTTACTTCTATTAGTTAAACGTTTGGTTCCTATGTTTTAAAACTCGTGATCTTGCTTGTTAGTGAGGGTCGTTGTAAAAAATCTAATTTCATAATTAATTTATCAAGGGGTTCATAATTCCTAAGGGCAACTCTTATTTAAAGTTATGAAAATTTAATATTGTTTATAAAAATCCAGCAACGAGTCGCGTAACTTTTCTGGCAAGTTAAAATTTGCGCCATTACGAGATTTTTTTAAAACTTTTTATATTATTAATTATTATAAATGGCAGAAAGCTTAATTTTGAGGTAGAGGGTAGAAACAAGTTTTTTTTTTTTTTTTTAAATAATAATTGTTAGTGCTAATAACGAGTAAATTCATTAAGTCCGACTCCACTAGAGATACGGCACGTGACCCCGTATCGCCCCACTCCTGAACCTTTAATCACCAAAATTTAGTAGAATCGATCCCCCTAACATACAAATTTCCCTGAAAAATTTCAAAAATTTTCGACAAAAGGTATAGGAGTTATTAAGCTTCAAAGTGGGAAACAAAATAGTGCCTCCACACACACACACTAATATCCATACACACAGAAAAAAACCAACTTTTTTTGCATTTCTTGACGTTTTGAAGTCCAAAAATATAAAAATCTTGGGGGGGGTCATTTTTTGACAAATCGCCACACTTTCCCTCTTGTATATAACAGCAGGGAAACCAAACATAAACAAATATTTAAATTTTAAAATGTTAAATACACTCTAATTTAATAAAAAAAAAATTATTTATTTCAGATTATTTTAAAATAAATTTAGTGGAAAAAATATGTTTTAACGTATTTTCCGGCATATAAAACGCACTTTTTTCCCGGAAAATACCGAAAATGGAGTGCTTCTTATACGCTTGCATTTTTTTTTTTATTGTTTTAACAAGCTTCGTTCATTGGTGTAAGCATAAAAATACTGTATTTACAACTTTATCCAAATTAAATAATAGCTAAAAACTAATTTCTTACACTAAAATTCAATAAAAACTGTATTTTTCACCTTGACAGAAATCAATAATTTCATTTAGAAAGAGATATAAAGAACTTTTTATATATAACAATACATAATAAGATTAATTTCGATTAAACAGATTTATTTCATTCATTTAAAACAAAGGGGAAAAAACCTAAAATTTTCAACAAAGGTGTTCGTCCATTAAAATAATGAAAATCCTTACGAATCGATCTTTGAATAGTGTATTGTTAGACATTTTTACTATAAATTAATTAATTGATTATAAAGCCAGACGTATGATTGTCTACGTAGCCTATAAAGCCATCGACATATAATTAAATACACCACGTTTTTGGCAAACTTGACCTTAAAACTACTTATAGATATCAGTTTGGAACTTATAAATCTATATATTAATTGGTAGTAGTGGCAATGATACTAAGTACAACATCACTAATTGTATTTCTTAAGCATAAAAATACATTTTAAAAGTAAAATTAAATGTTCTTATATTTAATAATAATAATATTTATATAGTTTTTAAATTTGCATTACCTCTTGTCTTGCGTTGACTTCTGCACCACTTTTTAGTAACAGCTCCGAGCATCTTAGACCCTTATTAACTCTTGCAGCTATGTGAAGAGGTGTTTCCCCTTCCTTTAGTTAGAGATTTACATACCTTGTATTAATATATTATTATTTAAATAATTGTTAATCGAGAGAATAACTTACTTTTCCTGCTTTAATTTGAACTTGTGCTCCGTAACCTAATAAAATCTCTACTACTTGAGGTTGATTAGCTTGAACTGCTATGTGCAAAGCTGTGAAGTTATCCTAGATAGATGAATTGAGCTTTTTAATTTAATATATTAATTAATTAATTAATTAGCGAAATAACAAGCTTATTTAAGTATAGATACTGTAGAAAAGAGTAAAATTCAGTACAAAACATCTGAAGATAGAAAGATATACGAGGAGGAAGGAAAAAAAAATGCTGCGAGATGTGGAGCCTGGAATTGGAAGACAGATATAATAAAGTAAGGTGAAGAGAAAGATGATGATGAAGGTAGAAACAGGTTTAACGACATTTAACGACCTATAAATGTCAAGTAATGATTTTGATGTTTAATTATATCACGGGAAACTTCGTATATTTTTAAGAATTTCAATTAAGATTTTTTTATTAAATAATAAACACTTGTCTTATGAAACCGAATAGAGATTTAATAATTATTGAAAGGTTCTGCAACCATAAATCAATGATATACTAAGAGTCTGAAGATATTCTTTTGATGTATTTTGATAATTATTAATGATAAACTATCTGCAATATTCCTTGACAGTTTTTTCTTTAAAATCAAATTAAAATATAAAGTGATAATGAGGCAATACAGAATGTCAATGAGATCGAAATTATCGTATATTGTATTTTAAACGATGATAATTTACCAATTAACTGATTACATAATTTATAATTATTGCATACAAAATCATATTAATGTATTTATTTGAAAAAATTTCCTAAGTAACCAATTTATCTTCAGAGTTTTACATTAAAATCGGAGCATAGCAATCTTATAACGTTTTTATTTCAAGAGAAATGTAATATAGATTACTGTGTATCCTTATTATATGACAGGAATTTTAATTTAAAATTTAAATTTTCCGCAGAAAATAGCATAGCAATCTTATAACGTTTTTATTTCAAGAGAAATGTAATATAGATTACTGTGTATCCTTATTATATGATAGGAATTTTAATTTAAAATTTAAATTTTCCGCAGAAAATATCATAAAAACATTTTTAAAATATCAAGGTTTTTAGTACATGTATAACCAAATTTTTCCTATTTTATCATCAATGATATAAATATTTATCGTAAATAATAATGCCGCTGATATATTTTATGATAATAATTTTACAAAGAGTTTTTATGTCAAGTTTTTTAATATAAATAAACACTTTAACAAGAAAACAGTCTAAATTTACTAATAGTTTCTTAAAATTTCTTATTAAATTTCACAAATTCCTCNGATTATTCTTAAGCATTTATATATGTGTGTATAAAAAATAAAATTATATTTAACTCGATTATAAGTTAAAAAAATGTTAATAATTCTAATTTTATAAATTTCTTTTCAATAAATGACATAAATTAATTATTCTTACTTTATCTTTTAGCATTCGAGAGTACCATTAACCTTCTAATGGCAAATTCAGCAGAGGACTTCCTATATTCAATAAAAATTTTAATTATAATCCAATTTGCTTTCCTTTAATCGTAATTAATTAACTTTAATTTTCATCATTACGCTTTATCGCGGCACGACTCTAAAATTGGCCAGCGACTTGCGACTTGTCGCTTTATCGCGGCACGTCGCTCGCCAGTTTCAGAGCCTCCATTTGTATTTTTTTTTTTTTTTTAAATAAGACTATAGAAACACGTACACACCTTAATCGCACATTTACTTAAATGGAAACAAATGCCACAAAATAATTTTTTTTGTTAAATTAAAAAGATTCTCGAAATTATCGATAGGAAAAAATCAAATGTCTCTGTGTCGTAGGGACTTAAATTACGTTTCTTAAATCAATTTTTTAAGTGGGTAATTTATTTATTTATTAAATGAAATTAATTTGAACTTAATTTTTACGTTTATTGCTTCACAAAACTGATTGTACATCGAGTAGAGGAAAAGTTAATGCGCCTATTTATATTGCAGATTTCGTGACTTGGATACGATTTCTTGTCAATCCCCATTTTAGCTGTTTATTCTTGAAATTTCGAAGAGAAAAATTACTAAAAATCTTAAAAATTTCTCAGTAATTTTAAAATCAATTTTATTTTATGATATAGGCCTATATATTATCTAGATATCTTCAGTTGTTATAAAATGATAAATGTTGTATTTGATTTAAATTTTTTCCTTCGTTTTAAGCTCTTAAATATATTAATAATGATAATAATCAAAGCTAAAATTTTGTTTTGATATAAAATTCGATATTAATTCGAAGAATTTGTCGTTATTTCTTCTAAAAATTTAGTCATTTTATAAATTAGAATTTTATAATTTTCATAGATGTTTTCTCCTGACATTCAAGCTATTGTCTATTGGACGACAGAGGATCAATAGAAGAATACAATGGAGGAGGCTGCTACCGAGTACACACCCATAGGAGGTTCTAAAGCTTTCCGTAAAGTTCGCATCGATACATTTCATACATCTGTAAGTTTTAACAGCTTACAGAATATCAATTAAATTTATAACCATTAAAAATGGCTATAAAGAAGTATTGGGATGTTGTAAACGTTGTAACGTTCCTAATATCGAACAAATTACTAAATTAGTTTCTTTATCTGGGTCAGTTTAGATAATTTAATGTCGGCATTCGAGGTATTTTTACGTATAAAAAAAGTCATACTTACGTTTGTTTTAGCATCGACTTGTTCCCCTTTCTGGAGCAAAGTTCGAACGACGTCGACGTGCCCACCCAGCGCCGCTGTATGTAGGCATTTTGCTCCCGCCTGAAAAAATTTAATGATTATTTTAATAAAAATAAGAATTTTTATTGTTAATAATTAGTTAATAAAGTAATTTATGTTAACTAAATCTATTTTTTTTTATAACAGAGACTACGTAATGCTCGGGGAAGTTTCATACATTCATTCGGCTTGTGTTTTTACTTGACAGCATACTTAATATTGAACTTATTGACTGATCATAAAAAATTAAATTTTAGCATAATTTAGTATAAGATATTAATGTATGCACGTACGAATCTATAATTTGACATAATAATCTAGAGATCGAGTTTTGTTTAAAAAGCTGCTATTCTGCTGCATTAACATATGATATAAGACAAAGTTATCTGTTCGAATCTGATATAAATGCATCATATACGGAGATTAATAGTTTCCTCCTTATTCAGAGAATGCTTTTATTAATAATTTTGCATGCCTTGTATTCAATTTCACTCTTTTCGTTAGAATAATTCGAGTTTTTTATATTCAGCAGTTTATATTCTTGTTTTAGAAATATTTGTAGTGACATCACAATTCTAACAATTAGATCCAGATTTATACATAAGCTAAGAGGATAAGAGCCTGTTATAGACTATAGTTTAGAATAAGAAGTCTAAATCCAATCCAACACTCATAGTGATGGATCAATTAGTGAGAGGTTTTAAGCAAGTACGGGCTTGATAGGTCCTTTTTATATAAGTTTATATAATAATATGCTCGTACACACTGTACTTAATATAAGATTACTGGCACGCGCACCCGAGTTCATAATAGTTTATCGATAAACGTATAGGCTACTATATTTTGCGTATCTGAGACCTCTGTAAACTCAAGTACTGTACATGTACTGTACCTAGACAAAAAGTAGATTGCTTAGCCTGAAATTATTATTGTCTATTATAGCCTGAAATCACCTAATAGTCTGAAAGCGCGCGAACCAAAAGGGTTCGTGAACTTGGAGGAAATAAAATTAACTTCTTATTTTTACTACCTCTAAATGAAATTCATTCTATTCTTCAATAAATGAATTAATAATATCTGTAAAGCGTTGACTTCTGCACCACTTTTTAGTAACAGCTCCGAGCATCTTAGACCCTTATTAACTCTTGCAGCTATGTGAAGAGGTGTTTCCCCTTCCTTNTATTATTGTCTATTATAGCCTGAAATCACCTAATAGTCTGAAAGCGCGCGAACCAAAAGGGTTCGTGAACTTGGAGGAAATAAAATTAACTTCTTATTTTTACTACCTCTAAATGAAATTCATTCTATTCTTCAATAAATGAATTAATAATATCTGTAAATTTTACATAAATATATATTAAATCACAGATAGTTTCTCACCATTTTAAAGCACTAATTAGAACTAGTAAACAGCTAAACTTACTCCAACGCTTTCTAGTAAACTAAATTGCTAAACATTGCTGCTATCAATCTAATATATTTACTTGTATCTTTTCGGTCGTGCTGCAAAATCGACGGAAAACACGAAGAATGTTTAATATATTCAATTATAGATCACCCGCATAAATTTAACATTATCTTAAATTGGTTATTCAATCACAAGAAAACGTTTATTAAAATCGATTATAATGTTTCCTTCGTTCTATAGTAAAACGAGGAAAAGGTTATTGAATTAATCCTTAAAACACGGGTATTTTTTAAAGGTTTCTTCATTTCTTTATTATTATTATTTTTTAAAAATGAAGGAAATCACGTATAAATGAGCTTAAACCTTCACATTCAATTGATGAAGGAGATGATTATTTCCAATATTTTTTAAAAAATAACCAATTATTTTAATAAGAATAAAAAATATATATATATATTTACTTTATTAGGCATGTGAAGCGGAACTCCTTTCTTCATAAAAATCATAGCAGTATTGGGATAACCCGCTTTAGATGCAATATGCATCAATGTATCTCCATCCTAGAAAGGTAAGGATTTAAATCAATTTATTGCTTTTATGTGTGTATTTTTATGAATAGAAACGTACCTACTTTTGTTCTGAGGAAAATTGAAGCTTTAAACTTCTCGATAAGTAATTCAATGATGCTGTTGTGACCATTTTGGGCCGCCAAATGAAGTGGTACGCGATCATTTATATCACACAGGTTGGGATCGGCTCCGTGCTGATAAAAATACTTGATCATCTGCATGTCACCGTCTCTTGCAACGTAATGTAAAGGTGTTTCTCCTTTGTGCTAAACATATAAATTATTTTTAAAACAACGTAAATGGGGTGAGGAATTTAGGGAAGAAATCCTTAATGAGTTCTGTAATCAGTTTTCTAGAACATAAGCTGTCCTCCGCGATATATAAAGTCAAAACTCTACCTATGCTTTTCTTATAGATTATTGGTTACAGAAGTTAAAAGGAAGTGACGTATGACGTACGATCATACCAGACAATTGTAATATCAGGTGGTCATATTAACGCATTTACAATTAATTATAATCTAAATATTTTAGTATTATTATCTCCTAAGCAGTTATGACATAATTATCCTACAACCAATCCTGTAACCAATTATGACGTAAATATTTTAGTACCATTAACCTTCTAATGGCAAATTCAGCAGAGGACTTCCTATATTCAATAAAAATTTTAATTATAATCCAATTTGCTTTCCTTTAATCGTAATTAATTAACTTTAATTTTCATCATTACGCTTTATCGCGGCACGACTCTAAAATTGGCCAGCGACTTGCGACTTGTCGCTTTATCGCGGCACGTCGCTCGCCAGTTTCAGAGCCTCCATTTGTATTTTTTTTTTTTTTTTAAATAAGACTATAGAAACACGTACACACCTTAATCGCACATTTACTTAAATGGAAACAAATGCCACAAAATAATTTTTTTTGTTAAATTAAAAAGATTCTCGAAATTATCGATAGGAAAAAATCAAATGTCTCTGTGTCGTAGGGACTTAAATTACGTTTCTTAAATCAATTTTTTAAGTGGGTAATTTATTTATTTATTAAATGAAATTAATTTGAACTTAATTTTTACGTTTATTGCTTCACAAAACTGATTGTACATCGAGTAGAGGAAAAGTTAATGCGCCTATTTATATTGCAGATTTCGTGACTTGGATACGATTTCTTGTCAATCCCCATTTTAGCTGTTTATTCTTGAAATTTCGAAGAGAAAAATTACTAAAAATCTTAAAAATTTCTCAGTAATTTTAAAATCAATTTTATTTTATGATATAGGCCTATATATTATCTAGATATCTTCAGTTGTTATAAAATGATAAATGTTGTATTTGATTTAAATTTTTTCCTTCGTTTTAAGCTCTTAAATATATGAAAAAACTAATATTTCATATAATAAATTATTAATATTATAGTAAATATGAATATAAGGTAGTTCAAAAGTCAGTTAACCGCACTTGCAACCTTAAAATATGTTTAGGTTAACTGACTGTTGGGTCATACTGCGTGCATCAAGATTCATTCAAGATTTATTTAAATATTTATATATTTTAATTTATATTTATAAAAGAAGTTTTAAAGAATTAAATTTATTTTGTTTTTTTAAAATAATTATTAACGAAATTTTATAAATGAACTGTTTTAACTTTCTACTAGGAATTTTCTAGGAAAAGATTTTAACATTTGATAAATTCTTATCGAATGACCTTTTTTTAATGGGTCGATGTGGATCTCGAAAGAGATTTTGAAAGTTTATTTTTTAAATATATTTATGCACGTAATTAACTTCAGAATTAATAAATTAAAATTATTCCATTGAATAAAAATAATTCTTATTGATGGAGATTTCTCATAATTATAATTAATAAATTCGAGTAAGTCTTTGATAAAAATGTACAAAATAACTGTATACAATTTATAAAATAGGTATAAGGCCTAGGAAAGATGCGATAGAGTCCTTCTAAGCCCATATGTAGTTGATTTACGATATTATCGTTTATATACGTTGATATGTGAATCTAAAATGAGTCTCATTTTTTTTTAGAAAACCACAAATATATACGAATAAAATTAATAAAAACAAACTAAAACGATAATTTTCACCATTTATTGAAAGAAACTCTAATTTAACTCTCTAACCTAGGAAAAGAGCCTTTTAAATGGCCCTTTGGCCACTTGTATTTGGGCTTATAAATATATACGAATATAGCATAGAGCAGAAAAGGCACGACTACTACTCGCCACATTAGTGGCTGCAATTTGAAAAAATTGTACACCTATAAATTCCCGCTGTCATCTGTCTGTCTGCCTGGCTATCATTCTTTAATTAATTTCGATTTTAGATAGTGAAAGTCGAGATCAGACATGGAAAGATTGGTGGCAGGAAGCTCCGATTAACTATATATGAATGTCCGATATAGACCAGAAATCAGGTGATTTTATTTAATTCAAACATTTCATCCACAACGGAGTTAAATAGATGACCGGTATGTGTTGTTATCGGGAAAAGTATGATGTATAGGAGAAAGATAATAATTTGAGATCGAAATCATATATTCTAAATTAAACAGATTAAAAATTGTAGCCCGCAATTGTGACGATGTCACAATAATTTTTGCACGTANCAACGGAGTTAAATAGATGACCGGTATGTGTTGTTATCGGGAAAAGTATGATGTATAGGAGAAAGATAATAATTTGAGATCGAAATCATATATTCTAAATTAAACAGATTAAAAATTGTAGCCCGCAATTGTGACGATGTCACAATAATTTTTGCACGTAGACATTCTTCTATTTATAAATATATAAATAATATATTATTATTAATTATTATGTACTTACATTTTGGGCATTGATAGTGGCACCCGCCTCTACTAAAAACTTCAGCATTTCCAAATCTTTTCTCAGTGTGGCCAAGTGTATGACCGAATCTCCTGTTGTAGGTCTTACGTATTCTAACTGTTCTTTGACTTTATCCAATAGCAACTCCCTACAAACTCCATGATTTCCACACTCTACAGCCAATAACAAAGGATTGTCTCCATCCTGCGAGTCAACATTTTGTTCTTTAGAATCCATAATATGATTTTAAAAAGGTAAATAACAATTCAGCAGCGTTAGAAAACCTCGTATCGAACACGCAAACTCCATAAAGATTTATCATTAACAAAAGAATCGTTACCAACGTGTATTTTTTTTATAACTTAGCGACACTTTAAGAGAATTGTGACATACGTTGATACAGATTGTTAGAACGAAGCATTTACAATGCCTAAAATAGGATCTAAAATGTTTATAGATCAATAAACAGTATATACCTATACTCGTATGTATAATGTTACATAACTTAGTTTAAATATTCTTTTTATGAACAAAATTTTAAAGTGGCCCAAAAGTCAGGTAACCGTATTTTATTTTTTGCACGAAAAGTCAGCAATTTGTGTGAGTATTAAAGTGTTTTAAGTTTTGTATTAATGAAGAAAGAAGAACTGTCTTATTATAAGACAGTGATTTAGCTTTTACAATTGTTAACTGACTTTTAGGGCAATTGTTTAAGTGAAAAAGTTATCATTTTTTTTTAAATGTAATGTTTTTAATTTAAATTTTATAACGATTATTCTTAAGCATTTATATATGTGTGTATAAAAAATAAAATTATATTTAACTCGATTATAAGTTAAAAAAATGTTAATAATTCTAATTTTATAAATTTCTTTTCAATAAATGACATAAATTAATTATTCTTACTTTATCTTTTAGCATTCGAGCTTCTTTTCCATAAACTCTTAGTAACATTTGGAGTGGTGCCAATGCAGCTCCGGTTGGTCGAGAGCATAAAATGTGAATTGGCAATTGATCTTTGGGCTACGATAAATAAATATTTTAGTACCATTAACCTTCTAATGGCAAATTCANACATTAATTATTATAAAATTTAATTAAGAATGCAATAAATAATACGTTTTTTTAAAAAAAATTGACTTCAGATTCCTGAATTAAATATACAAATTACATTTCTTAAAATTAATAATATATATATATATAAATGATATTACTCATTTAATTTTATTATTATCTAACCTTTAAAATAAAGAAAAATATTCGAATATATGCGTCATGCTATATTAATCAATGATTTTTTTAGTATAATAGCTCTATAGATTTCTTGTTAACACGTGTTATCATTGAACGTTATGTAAAAATCTTACATGAGATTCTACGAAATTTTTAATGACTTTTTGGGGGGAATTTTAGAGAATAAAGAGTGAAGTTTGAAAGTGATTAATTTAAAAAATGTTAGTAAATTTTAATTCCATTTTTAAGAGGCACAAATATTTTTTCGGGTTGTATTAAACACATAAGACTTTGAGATGCATCTTTAGTTTATTAAGAAAGATTTTTTGTATTTCTGAAATTTTTATGAAATCCTCGGTATAAATCATATAGAATTTACATGATTTATTTTTTCTTTATTTATTTATTTTAACTCTTTGTTCTTTCTGCCAGAACTCAAAAATGTTTCAACTTTTCTAATAAATCTATCTATTGGAGAGTGGTAGAAATATTACTGATAACAATTTTACATAAAAAGCTATTTTCGAACAGAATTATTTATTAAAATTCTTTACAGAAGTTTTACGTATCTATTTATGCTAAAATATTAATAATTTGATGAGAAGATAGAATGTTATAAATGTAAAAACTGATACAAATTCATATTAAACGAAATTACTGAAAAAACATAAAAATATTTATCTGATTTCATGAAATTCTCTAAAATAACCAATAACCATAGACTAATTTTTCACTATTTACTATGATATAATTTCCTTCCACTAAATTTCAAAATTCCTTACTTAAGCATCTTAAATAATTTATTAAATTGCATATTATTTATGCTCATCTATAACCATCTTGAATAGCTTATAATTTTCATATACAGCATAAAAAACGAAATAATTAATTATATTCTTTATATATTTTTAAGGATATTTGAAGAAGATATATTCCTTAGATCAGAGTGCAGAATTGTGAATTATCTTTCTTCCATATTTAGTCCAGTTGTTAGTATCCACCGATTGAATACTACACATTCATTGAGTGATTTTTTCTGCTCTGTGTGATATTTTAAATAATAGAATTTTTAATACGTATTTTAAATAGAAACACTAAATATTATATAGTAAAAAAGGACTAAATATGGCGTGTTTATTCCTGAAATTAGTATTCCATCTAGCTGAAAGATGAATAGAATTTACGTAAAAAAGTTATTTAGAAATGCAATATTTTAATTTTCAGAAGATATTCCATACACAAGTCTTTCGAGGAAGTGTTTTCTTTTGTTATTTTTATTTAATAGTTAACAGATATTAAATAAAACAATGTCAATCACCTCTAATATCTCTCTAGGTGAAGAAAAGTCGATTTTTTCAACGAGATGCATTGAATGATTTCTTATTGTAAGTGGTAAGTTCTGTTAGGAAGAGTTCTTCTTGACATTGAGCGATGTCTTTCCCACCGTTATGATATATGAGTACTTCCTGGTCTTTTTTGTAGTTTTTATATGAAACAGATATCTTACCAGTTATAAAAACTGTAACATAAATTGAATGCAAACAGTGGCGTAGAAGAGTCACAAATGCCTTGTGTCAGGAAATTCACTTTGTAGAATACTGAAGGTTGTTTTCAGATTCTTTTGGACTAGATTTACTATTCTGATGAAAGGCTTGGATTCGTTGTAAAGTAGTATTTACATACAATAATGTTCAAGTAGAGTTCTTACTACTCGCATCTTAGACACAATAGAAACGATTTTCGGCTCTTTACGAGTTCTCAGAGGAGATTTCTACTCTTATAAAAACTACAGTAGAGTAGATTATGGGGTCATCAGCATCTCTGATTAGTCAGCTATTTCATCGGATGCAAACAAAATTAGTTTGTAAAATACTTTGTTGTAAATATATCAACACAAGAAATGATGATAGTAACATTATATTAATGTAAGTGTTATTTTTGTATATTTAATTTTTTGGATAAATGTATTTTTTTAATAAAAATTTGTTGCAGTTTGCTCTTCAACTTTGTCGTTTTTTTTATTTTCTATTCCATAGCTGCTTAACCTCTACATTGTCTAGTCCTTCCTATCTCTACGTATTGTGTCTATAACAGAATGCTGCGATTCATCATAATTTTTCAATGTATCGTGACTGTTCCAAACGGACTTAAGGACGATAACCTTCGTTTAGTCTTTTAAATACAATTTTCTTACAGTCCTATTTCCTTAAATTTTTCATACACTTTAGACATTACTTTTACGATATCTCAACATCCTTTCTTTATAAGTATAATTATATTAAGCTTTTTATTTTTATAATTAACATTTATTTTTACAAGCTATGATTGTAATTAAAGTAACTTCTAATTACAGTTTACAATATATTTAATAACAATTTGAAAATATTGAAGAAAATTCAATTAAAGTAGTCAACAACACAGCAAATTTTCTATCAAATAGATTATAAATCACGGTTAATTCAAAGAGAATTTATATTATGGATGCAGTTATACATTACTAAGATCCTACATCGAGTCTATGTTGAAACTTATAACTTTTCTTTCATAATTTATTCAAATCTCGATTTGCATTTTAGTAATGTCGTTTTTTTTACAGGAGAATACGTAGAAGAATGACATTTTCTGCAGTTTCTCAGAGCTTTTTTCTTCTCCAAGCTTCCACAGCAACTCTGCATACATCTCCTTAAACTATAATATATATATATGTAGGTAGCTTTATTTTTATATCTATCTAGATATACATGATGGTTTAAAAGTCAGTTAACATGTTATTCATGAAGAATAACATGCATCCGTTCCAAACCGTTCCATTTTAAAATATATTTCAGTTAACAGATTTTTGGACCAATTTTTACTCATCTTCTCTACAACTGGTATCAATACCAGAATATTATTTCATATATATTTCATGAAAAATGAAGAAGTAAATACTTTTCTCTTGATTTAAGGTATTTACTTACAACTATATTAATTTAATTCGTTTTTCCTCCATTAAGGTTGCCCTTTATAATTAATAGGTTAATCGTATTTCGAAGGATATTATGTAAGAGAGGATGTGAATTTCGTGATTATGCTAATTTATTCTTATTTGTAAGAATATATGTATTACAGTCTTTATTCTTTAATAAATTGCCCTATATAATTTTACTAAAAATAGCAGAAATTATCTATTACCACAGTTTAATTTAAGGGTAAAAATTTGTTACAATCTTACACGTCTGGTAAAATTAAGATAAATTTATTTAAAAAGATTTTTCGAGTACAGTAAAGTTCTATGTACAGAATAATTTCACTTTTAATCGATTTAAACGTACGTTTAAGATTCTTAACCTTTATTATAAAAATAAATTGAAGAGAAAATTAGACTTTAACGCCCAAATATTCACTGACGTGAAGTAATTCGCATGCAACGAATATATAAATTTTTTTAAAATTTTATTTCCCATTTGAAGAATATTTTACTAGTTTTTTCAAATAAGAAATTAAAATAATAATTTAGCTAAAAGTTTTCCAGTAGAATAATAATTTTATTAAGTAATTTTCTTGGGCAAAAGAATAATTTTATCTCTCTTCATTTTTGTATTTTATGCAATTTAGATAAGTCTGGATTTACATATAAATTAAATAAGCTTATAGCTTAGGGCCTCAAGCTACGAGGCCTCTTTTGTGTATTATTATTGGCTTAGCTATGGCTTATTATAGATTAGTGCCTCTCTCTTTTCTATGTATTATTGTTTGATGAAAGGAAGTAACATGTGTAGCTTAGGGGCTAAGTCTATGACCGTGAGTTTGATATAAATTATAAAGCTAATTTTTTTAAATATTATTATATGATTTTATCTGTCGATAACTTACCCCTCCTGGTATATGGGGATCTGCTTTTCTACTTAATAGTAATTTAATCATGTCTTCTTTAACATTGCTAGCAGCCATATGCAATGCAGTCATCCCTTCCTTTAAACAAAATAACATATATATTTATTTTAAAAAATGTTATTTTATTATAAACAAAACACATAAAGTATATATATTGCGTGGAGTTCAGTGAACATTTTATACATCAAAAGATGTCCAAATACATTATTTCGGATGCAGGAAATGGGATTGATAGTTCTAGAAAGAGATCAGATAAGAAAATTAGGCAAAGGTAAAGGTATTATAGAGGCCAGATAGAAGTAGAACAACCGACACACCCTATGCTACTAGTAAATGGCGTGTGCATGAAAAATGTTAGCAGTTTTGATTGAGAACTTACTGAGAAGAAGGTGGGTCTGATATGGGTTTAACAGTAAGTAGCACCCTTGAGATAGGAAAATTATATTCAAATTCGTTATCAACAAAACAAAGAGAAGAATAATTCAAAGAAAATCTTATAAACTATGAAATTTTAAAATAAAAAATAAAGGTTAACCCCAAGTTGAAAAACAGTAGTAAAAAAGCCAAATTTAATGTAGAAAGTGTCAATATTATTCATTTTTAAGAGACTATTTACATAAATAAAAAGTGTTGTTACTCCATTGAAATATATTTTTGTGTAATTGTTAATCATATATATATATTTTGGAAAAATTCCAAAATTTACTTTGTAGTTTTTAAAATGCATAAATCCTTTTTTATTTATATTATTTTATATTTAATTAACAAAAGTCTGATCAGTCAAAGATACAATTAATCTCTTTGCTACCCCCCTTTGATTTTGGTTGGACTCTTCTAACGTAGATCGATTTTAGATATTTATGTCTTATACTTTTATTCAGGATTCCTTTAGTAAAATATTGTTAACAATGTA